GAAGTGGCACGAGTTAATATTTTTCGAAAAAGTAAAAAGGGGCGTGGCTAAAGTTTCTTGGCCACACCCCTCTTCTGATTTATTAACACCCCTTTAAGAAAACCACATACCCTTACTACGTCATCGTGACGTCATCACGCGGAAAATTTAAATAAAATAAAATTTATTTTATTTTTCAAGACTGCCGAGATTCGATCCCGCGATACTGCGGATACGAATCGGAGACTCTAGCAACGAGCCACGAACAGTTCTTGCAAACCGTGTCTTAAAACTTGTATTTAAGGTACGAAATTGATGCGGGACTTTAAAATTTTATAAACGAGTGATAGGTATATTCTTCTATCACTCTTCGTCGTCGTGACGTCACGCCGAATAAATTTTATTTTTCACGACTGCCGGTATTCGAACCCGCGATACTGCGGATACGAATCCGAGACTCTAGCAACGAGCCACGAACAGTTCTTGCAAACCGTGTCTTAAAACTTGTATTTAAGGTACGGAATTCATTAAAATTAACAAGATATTACTTTGAGAAGGCCCAATATGCAATTATTTTTTTGTAGGATGGGTTTTACAGGATAGAAATAATTTAAACAAATCATTTCATTTAATTTAAATATATTTTATTCATTCTAATCTCGTACAGAATGTTTCTTTTACATTTCATTAGTTTAGAACTTATTTTCAATATAAATAAGTTCTAATTTACAATAATTAAATGTAATATTATAATAATAAAACCTTTTTCTTAAGTTGATGTTTCGTGTTGATAATCTACTGGGTGTTCTATAATTATCCTCCTGTAGTCTCCCATCCTAGTTTATGAAAAATAAATATAAGATTAAAATATATTCCCAGGGGGTGGAAACTATTTTTGTCATATAAAAATAATAACATGCTATTGGCTTACCACTTGCAAGAAAATCAAACATAATATGTCTCAGTATATTCCACTCTTTCATTCTTCTTTTTTTCTATCTCTTCTATTTTTCTTGAAGAGGAATCCGTTCATTCTGCCAGCCAATTAAAAGCAACGTAGACAAACAACGTGTTGCTTAGCACGATTACTGTTATCTGAAATACATAAGAAAGAAGAAGAGAGATTAATACACACGGAAAACAACTTATCACAATCATAAAATCATTTTAAACACTTTGAACACCGCGTCAGTCATCGGTGGCTGACATTTGACTTACGCTTAGGCCTCGTCAGTCATCGGTGGCTGACACTAGGTTTTATGTGTAGGCCGCGTCAGTCATGGATGACTGACACTAGGTTTTATGTGTAGGCCTCGTCAGTCATCGGTGGCTGACACTAGGTTTTATGTGTAGGCCGCGTCAGTCATGGATGACTGACACTAG